AATTTATTTTTTTTTGGAGACAGAGTCTCACTCTTTTGCCCAGGCTGAGTGATGGTGGCACAGCTAGCTCACTAGCAACACCTCACATCTCCTGGCTTCAAGCAGTTCCTGCTCAGCCTTGCAGTTTGTGACCTGCAATGATGAACATTCTCAGGTGGAAACATCTTCCTCATCTGCCTGGACTTTTCAAAACCAGTCTTTCGAAGGGCCCAAAGTGCACTGCTGTTCCCTTTCCAGCTGGCGGTGCAGCTTAAAATGAGGCCGGGCCTCCCTTTCCTTAGGCGCCTGTGACCTCAGTGGCTTGTGAAGTCAAAGATGTATCATTTCATGCAGCAATTTGGAGAATTTTCTTGGAGTACCAAAAACTCCACGTGGCATCTCCCAGGTGTTGAGCAGGTGGCAGAGACGGTGGACCTAAATCCCTGAAGGTCATTGTCAGAGGAGAGTGAAGTGTTGTAAGAAAACACAGGTGTCCTGTGTAGGAAATGGCACAGAGGAGGTGGCATCTTGAAAGCCCTGTGGAGTGCGCGGGGACGGGGCAGTGCAGGGACCGAGAGCAGAGGCCACCGTGTGCCCACAGATGCAGAACGCATGACAGAAGACAGCGCCTCAGTGTGGGGCCCTCTCGGGAGGACTTTAGGGCTAGAAATACAAGACAAGGGAGATTAAGCGCTGGGGACAAAATGAGATTTCAAAAAGCATTTTAAAATGCATCGTCAAATGACACTAATTGTGAGTTCTCCAGCAGATGCCCCGCCTAGGTGTCTGCCGGCAGGTAAAGTGAGCACCTGGCCCAGCTTGCTGATGTAGGAGGCCAGGTCGTGCTACAAACCTGAATTTTTAGGAACAATTTTTAATGTTATAAAATTACATACGAGGGCTTGAGCAGTATAAAAGACTATTAGTAGACTCATCCCGTAAGTATTCCTTGCCTCGTGAAACATATTCCTACAAAACTGACAACCAGAATAAACTGTATTTTTCTCCTCATGTGTGCCATGTTGGGACCCCAAGACCAGCCTCAGGCTCAGCGATTCACAGGGGAAGTCACAGGACCCAGAACACGGTCTATCACAGCAAAGGGTGCACGCGGACGTCAGCGATGGGAAGGACGGCAGGGGGTGGAGTCCAGGGCGCTGCTTCCTGATGTCACCTCCCAGTGCAGTCCATGGGGACCTGCTTCGCTCTCCCTGAGAGGACAGGAGCCAGCAGGGAAGCTCCAGCAAGCCTCGGTGTCCTGGGTGTCACTGGGGTCAGCCTCGTAGGCATGGAGCACCCACCCACCCACAGGAGGACCTCAGGGGCTCACAGCCTGGGCAAATAGACGCAGTGGGGCCCAGGGCCTGGGCAGACAGAAGCCCCCCAGGCAGCTACTCCCAGTGCTCCAAGGTTCCCCGAGGAGGAGTCGAGCTGTCCTGAACCCAGGCCTTTCTTTGGACTGGGACAGGTTTAAAACATGAGTCAGGCCCCTCCCTACACCCAGTGGCTTCCCGCCCTTTGGAATTGCAGACGGGCCTCCTTTTACTGCTTTCTCTTTATCCTGCTTGGCAGATGCGTGTGTCACAAACTGAAGGTTGTGACAGCCCGGCCTCTAGCAAGTCTGCCAATGCCGTCTTCCCGTGATGTGTGTTCACTCCGTGTCTCTGGGTCACATTCTGGTAATTCTCACAGTATGTCAAACTTTTCCATCATTGTCTATGTTACAATGATCTGTGATCAGTGATCTTTGATGTTACTATTGTAGTTGTTTTGGGGTACTACAGATCCTGCCCATAGAGGACAGTGAACTTGATTGGTAAATGTGTGTGTTCTGACTGCTCCACTGACCTGCCATTCCACCCCCACCCCCACCCAGCCTTCCTATTCCCTGACAGTATTGAAATTAAGCTGGTTGACGACCCTATAATGGCCTCTAAGTGTTCGAGTGAGAGGAAGAGCTGCACGTCTCTCACTTTTAAATTAAAAGCTAGAGAGGACTAAGCTTAGTGAGGAAGGCATGTCACAGCCAGGCCAGGCCTCTTACGACAAATAGCCAAGTTGTGAATGCAGAGGAAAAGTTCTTGAAAGAAATTAAGAGTGCTACTCCATGAACACACTAATGGCAAGAAAGTAAGACAGCTTTATAGAAAGTCTTACTAGTCTGGACAGAAGATCAAACCAGCCACAGCATTCCCTTAAGCCAAACCTAATCCACAGCGAGGCCCGAACCCCCTTCAATTCTGTGAAAGCTCAGAGAGGTCAGGACGCTGCAGAAGGAAAGTTGGAATCTAGCAGAGCTTCCTGAGGTCTAAGGAAAGACGCCGTCTCCGTACCGTAAAAGCGCGAGGTGGAGCAGCAGGTGCTTGACGCAGACGCCACAGCAAGGCATCCAGGAGACCCTGCTGGGAGCACTGGTGAAGGCGGCCACACTAAACAGCACATTTCCAGTGTAGACGAACCAGCCTCTACTGGAAGATATGACCTAGGACTTCCATAGCTAGAGAGGAGAAATCAATGCCCGGCTTCAAAGTTTGAAAGGACAGGCTGTGACTCTCTTGTTAGGAGCTAATGCAGCTGGTGACTTTAAGCTGAAGCCAGTGTCATTTGCCATTCTGAAAATCCTAGGGCCCTTAAGAGTCATGCTAAATCTACTCTGCCTGTGCTCTAGAAACGGGACGACAAAGCCTGGAGACTGCACATCTGTTTACTGAATAAACAAAAGCCCACTTTTGGCCTACTGATCGAAAAAGAGCCTTTTATTGCCGCATCTACCTGGTCCACCCAGGAGCTCTGATGGAGTGGACACAGGACCTGCATGTTTCGTTTTCACGGTGCCAACGCATCCGTGCTGCCGCCATGGATTCAGCGCGTAACTTCAGACTTTCGAAGTCTTTTCATTTCAGAACATACATGTCCGTCAACGGCTGTAACTGCCATCACGCTCATCTTCTCTGGTGGATCTGGGCCAGTCATTCGCTCGGAAGTTGCCATTCTACGATGCCATTGACTCATGGACGGCAAGGTCAAACGTATCAACATTAAGGAACTTGGCGGTTCATCCCAGCTCACGGATGACCTTGAGGGGTGCAAGACGCCCAGTGAAAGTTCGCCCGCAGGTGATCGTGGACAGAAGAGACTACGCTGGAGCCTGAGCCATCCTGAATGCAATTGCTGCGATCTCCATGATAGAACCGTGAACAGATGGGGAGCTGCTTATAGGTGAGCAAAGAAAGTGGTTTCTGGAGATGGAATCAGCTGGTGAAAATGCTGTGAACATTGTCAAAATGACAACAGAGGATTTAGAATATTATATAAGCTTAGTTGATAAAGCAGCAGCAGGGTTGAGAGGATCGACTCTATTTTTTTTTTTTTTTGAGACAGTCTCGCTTTGTTTGCCCCAGGCTAGAGT